AGTCACTGAGCTGGGTCAGGAGGTGGAAGAGGCAATGGAGAGCCTGAGGGCTTGCTATCTATCAAGTCCGTCTCCCAGACAACTGCTCACTTCTGCATATCCTCCTGAAATTAAATCACACTCTGATATGGGGTGATGATCAGGAGGGGGACAAAGCCAATGGATGAAAGATGGATTCTTTAAAAACAGTCAATACCAGCAACATGTTAAGGCAATATATAAGTAAATTAAATAAACTACATGCCTCTCAAGGAAGCTGGCCAGGATTAAATGGTAGCATGGTTCCCTTAAGCTTTAATTCTGGAGGATATGCTTGGAAGTTAACTGGATAAGAATGCGTACTTCATTTTCTCAACCCTATTTCAATTCCTTGTTATGGTTAGTTATCTTTGAAAGATAAGTTAGCTATCACAGGCTTCCAAATAACAGACTATCAACAATTAACTGATTTCTGATCACAGTCCTTTGTATATCACCTTAATAGTGGTCTTTCTACAGGTTGCCTTTCTTCTGCCAGAAAAAAATAATTTCCACATTTTTCTATCACCCATGATAATGAATGCAGGGAAATCTTGCTTTTCCCAAATGTGCTCCAGATAACTGGTGTTACTCAGAGCTAAATTCAAGTGCTATTCTCATCCAATAGGAAAATGAGAAAGAAAATGAACAGTCTCTAGGCTTGACAAAGAATATGACAGAAAATGACCTGATTTGCAATTTAACTCCATGGAGGAAGAGGTGAACAGTTAAAAGACTGAGATACACCTTATCTAAATAATTGCATGAACAATTTAAGTTGCAAAATGAGGTCCAGATGGAAGAGCTCAGAACTGTTCACTGTAGGAATGAGACCTGCTATGCTGGAGATCTCTAAATCCAGAAAGAGACCATCACAGGATGAGGGGAAAAGTCCTGCCCAGGACTCAGATTTTGAGATAAATGGGTTCCTCAGTAATCCTGCCACCAGGGTAGGAAACCAGTCTCATGACCTCTGAAGGGTGCATTTACTTCCATGGTAAAATCATTTGCATTACTAAATTTTATCAAAAGGAGACAGGAGCAAATAGGATACCGATGCAAAACTGGTTCTACAGTCCTCTTATATAGAAGGCACCAAAAGTGAGGGTCTCTGGATGTGTTGGATGAGGTGATGTAAAAAGAAAAATGAACCCAGCAGATCATTTTACAACAAGAAATAAATTCCTGTGACTTGTGGTCCATTCAGAAAAATCTTATTTCTCTATGACTTTTATTTACAAATCACCAAAGTGGAGGAAGAAAACAGGTGACTAGGGTTATATGAAAACATGAACTGGCAGTTGCACTATTTCAAGATGGCAACCTAAACTGTGAAAAATGGACTTGTTAGTGTCACAATACACAACTAAATCATTCAGGGTCACTCCAGGTGAATTCGAGTTGGCACGAAATAATGGCACAGACACAGAAAGTATCTTTTTCTTGGGGTCCAGTGATGGCTCTCAACCTTAGGAGTCCATTGGAAAGAAAGTGAGCCACCTGAATTCTTTATTTTTATAAACACAAAGGGAGGTTCCATGGAATGTTCTTTCCAAATAAGGCAAAGGGTCAGTTTTCAGGGGGTTGACTCTAGCATCATGATGTCTTGTGGTCAGTAGGTTGATTGACATCTTTGCAAGTCACACCCATCTCAGGTGCTGTGTGGGATCAAAGGCAGAGGAAAGTGTTGCAGGCCCCAAAGAGCACATCCAATCCTCCCATATGCTCAAAAGCTCAGAGCTCACCCACACACCGCCCCGGGCTGGCCTGCGACATGTTAGTTTACTGGATTTATAAAAAAATTAGTTCCTGCTTTAAAAGTTGAACTGAAAGAGACTTGCTTTACTTTGTCAATAACTGTGATACTGAGTAGTAAAGAGCTACTAAAATGAAGTGGAAACATTTATACAAAAATGGCCATTTGACAATTTCTTTCTTTCTTTTTTCCTTTTAGATAGGGATTATCTTGTCTTTGAAGGAGGAGGCTTTTTCAATCCTAACTTGAAAGACAACTTTAGCACAAATTTAGCACAACTTTAGCACAATCAAGTAACAAAAAATGTTACTTGATTGATGTTTGTTTCAGGTTATGGGCTTTGTTGCTCAAAATCAACCAGCGAAATAAAACAAACAAACAAACAAAAACCACCTTTTTAAAAATTTATATATGACAGTGGAATGCATTACAATTCTTATTACATGTATAGAGCACAATTTTTCATATCTCTGGTTGTATACACAGTATATTCACACCAATTTGTGTCTTCATTCATTCAGGTACTTTGTATAATAATTATCATCACATTCCACCATCATTTATAACCCCATGCCCCCTTCCTTCCCCTCCAACCCCTCTGCCCTCTCTAGAGTTCGTCTATTCCTCCCATAAATCAACTTCTTTTTACTTAAGAGATTCTGATTCACATTATTCCCTTTCAAAATCCCAAAGACTCAGAACCAAGAAGGAGCAAGGCATTATTATAGGTCCACTTTGCACTTTGAAAAAGCCCTCTACTCTCTCCTGAGCTGACATCTGGTTTGAAAAAACACCGAGCAGTGCCCTGTTTTTAAATTCCTTGTATTTCTTGAGCCATTCTGTTTACTCATTTCTATAGATCCAGGATTCCAATGCCTTTGGCTGAGGAAAGTAAAATGACAGATGGGAAGACAGGCCCCTCCAACATGCCTAGACTAAATAAAACAGAGACTCTGATCCTTGACTCCCCATTGTAGTTCAGCCAGAGTTGACTGGGGTAATCCTTGGGTAGTCATGGGCTGGGTGGAGGAGCCTGGCACCCTGTGGCCATGTTTAGTACAGCAGCTGCTTTCCACCTAAGGGCAGCTTATAAGCTCTCCCTCCCTAGTGGTGGGATGAAAATTGTGTATGGTGCTGTCACTCTTTTAATTTTACATTTACACCTCATATAGTACTCCATTGAGTCATTTTTTCTTGATCAAAGGGAAAAATGTGTATTCTAGTGTCTTGATTTGCACTTCGTATTGTTTTGGGAAAATCAATTGAGGGTTATCTTCTGTTTTTCAGCCTTAGAAGAGAGTATGGGGACTTGGGTAGGAAATTCCATGCCCTACGAAACTGTTGTTACTGTTGAAAGTTAAAAGTTGAGGAAACTGGGAGCCAGTGTTATGATGGAATGAGTACAGACTAGAAAACCAGATCTTATTTCCAGTCTTTGTTCTGTCACAAACCATATGTTGTACTCTGGTCATTTACCCTGTATGAGTTGGATGTCTATGAGGTTAAAGAGGATGGGCCAGTTCATTTCCAAAGTCCTTCTGGATTTTAAACTTCTGTGCACTGCCTGTGGATGGTATTTTCTGAGGCCTGAACCATGTTTCCTGGCCAGTTTTAGAGGACACAGAACATCTGTTCCTCTTTCCCATCATTGCCCCTCCCTGAGAGCAGTCTTGGCTTAGGTTCCAACCATATCTACTACTTTTCAATAGCCTGTGTCTGTTAGAGCTAATATCTGTTATCAATCATTGATCTCTTTGGTTCATTTTACATCCATCCCAAAATGAAAGTCATTGGCTTAAACTAAGAAAAATTTATTCATTGATAAATGATGTAAACTCAAACTGGCGGTCTCTGAAACAAGTTTCTGTCTTGCTTACTTTGGTCTACTCAGATATTTTGAGTATGTGTCACTGATATCATTCATTTGATTTATAGTTTTGGTGCTGAGGAATGAGTCCCGTGCCTCACATGTCTAAGCATGTGCCCTGCCATCAGGCCACACTCTGGCCCTCATTTGACTTCACTTCATTGTTACCTTGCGGTTGCAGTCTTGATCTTGATGGCACAATTGGACACCATCAGGAAACATCATGGCATCCATGCTGTCATTAAACAGAACCTCAAGTCACATCTACTTTGAAGAGACTATGAAAACACATACATGCCCAGATACCAAGGAGCTTGTAACTCAAAAATTAGAGGAGATTTGTACAGGGAGCTCTAACAGCACAGAGTGAAACCTAACTAGCCTGGAAATGATATCTGGTAAACCTCGAAGGATGTGTATGAGTTATTTAAGCAAGAAGGAGTTTAGGAGAAGATAATTTCAGCAGTAGGAATTTAGCCAACATTTCATGAGTGTTTTCAATGATATGCCCCTTTCTAACTTCAGATATATAGGAATTGGAGGACGTTTGAGTCTAAACTTATGTCTAAATTCACTCTGCAATATCCAATTTGGAGTCAAGTGTCCTGGTGTGTACCTGAGGTAAGTACTCCTAGGTCTTGAGATAGATCCTTGGACCTATCTTTAGCCAACCTACATCAAGTCTATGGATTCTTCCAGCACACACCCAAATCCAGCAGGTGGCTATATGTGGGCTATCACAGGTCTTAACCCGGTGGAACAGGAGAGCAGGATTAAAGGCTTAAGGAGAAGGCAGAGTAAACAGTTTGGGGATGTTTTTAGTCTAGTAAAAGAAGACAGGAAGATTGAGGGCAGAGAATGTTGGGAAGCCATTTTATGTTATTTTGAGTAGAATAAAAGCTCTCTTAATCGACTTCTACTTGTTATTCTCCAACTTTGCTGTAAAACTTACTGGCAGATGCCACAGTAGACTGAATGCTCATGGCTCCTCTCTGGTACTCTTGACCATTTCTGCTCAGTTGTGCTTACATAACTGAAACACATGCATTACACCTCTCTTGCACCCCATTTGAACATGCAGACTTTACTTAAAAGCTTACCACCTAAACTATATTTGTCTCGAGCTCCATCTCCTGACCATACTGGTACTGGGTTCTCTTTGGATGCCACCGGGTCACTGAGTTACCAGCTTCTTCTATGTATAATAGCTGTGGTCTTCACACTCTTAATCTGGGATGGGACTGTGGTATTTGGAATCCCTCTAGACCAGCTACCTATTGCTTAATAAGGACAGGGGGAAAGAGGCCCTAGAAAACTCTGTACTAGGTTTGCTCATTGAGGAAAAACTGGAAGAAGAGCATCTTTGAAAAGTTCTTTATTTATAGACATTTTGGAACCATTTAGATCAACAGACAATGAGTTCTTTTAGACATAACACACTGTGTTTATCTTGAGGTACACACTGGGCCCACTGGAAAATGATACAACTGTTAACTTATAGTTAACAACCTCAGTTTTCCAAGCCAAGAAACTGTAAAGACAGTTACAAAATTCTCTGCAAACAATACAACATCTCCATTTAAGTTGAAGAGAATTCCCCAAATTCTTAATGGAGTTGAATTTTTTTTTTTTTTTTAGGCTGAGTTGAAACAATATTTTGAATGGAACTGAATGTAAAAATGGGAGTTTATAGTTAAGAAATTATCTGAGCCCTATTACATGAGATTGTAAACAAAAAACTTTGTGATCTGATAAGCTCTATTACAAAAATTCATAGCTACAAATTAGAGCAGCAAAATTACAGGAGATATATATATATAGACATTTATATATAGTTTTAACCGGAATTGCATTTACTCCTTGTTTCTGGCTACCACAATGAGACAAATTTCAAAACTCCAAGTTTTGAAAACTGACTGATGTGATTTAACAGATGCGGCCTAAGAATCTCACAGTATAACCATCCCACAGTATGAAAGTCCTATTTGCCATCATTTGCACGTTGGGCCTTTTCACTATTCTTGCCTTAGTAGCCTTAAGATTACTAGAAAAATAGTGGAAATTGATAATAATGGACATGTTTCTGAAGGCCTTGTGTGTCCAACAACAGATTTAACTTTTCTGGGAGATTGAAACTAAAATTTTCTTTGAACAGTTCACTAGGTTCTTGGAGAACTAGTTTGCTTTCTCGTTTGTGGAATGCCGACCTTATACTACTTAGGCTAGACAAGTAGCAACTCATTATACCAAGTGTTTGGAAAATGAAAGACTGTCTATCCACACTCACCCCCTGCACTTCTCAGGGAGGTGTGTGGCTGATGTGCAGGTGGCTCTGGAATGTGAGCAGAGGCTGTTAGTGTGTCTGCCAGAGGTTGGAATGGACTGTCATAATATTTCCCATAAGATTGCTGGATTTTTGCAGGAGACAAGAATAAACACTGCGATTTAGCTGAATGGGTGTCTGCTACAACTTCATAAACTTGGATGGTATATGTGGGTTGGTTCAAAGAGTGTGAGCGTACATTTCACAGTTCATAAAGTTGAACAGCTCAACTTAAAGAAGAGACAACTTGCAGGCGTTTACAAGACTCTGAGAAGGAATTGATCTGTGTTTTGAGTTCTCCTCCTGTGTTGGGTCATTTTATGTTTCAGCTGCTTGGCTTGGTTTATTGCTGATTTTCTTTTCTGATGGGGGCTGTGAAGATGATTTTAGCCATGAATTTAAGTACTGGAAAAAAAAAAAGGTACTTTCCCCCAAACACCATGGTCACTCTTCCGATCCTAGGGACCTGTCAAACAAGGATGCATTCAGTCTTGACCAGCTGGTAGAAAAGATTCTGCTCATGGGACCTCTGCACACTGCTTTTCATTGCAGATCACAGCTCTCAGAAAGGAGGGGCTGTTTCCTTCAGATTCCTGCTCGGCATTTATTGTCATGATTCTTTTGGGGGCTGTGGATACTGTCTAATCAAGGGCATGCTAGACAGTTGCTCAGATTAGAACAACAGTTACATTTGTGGCTTTTAGAAATGCAGAAGATACTTTTTATTAGGATTAAACCAAAATTCCAAGTCAGTAAAAGAAAAATACAAGACAGCGAGAGGACACTTTCTGCCTCCATGTTACAAGTTTGAACAGTCTTGTGGTGTTTATTTAATACCCTTATCTGCCATTGCTCCCATCTGTGCATATTTAAAGACAGGGCACACTTCACTCTCCATACAGCCAGCTGCCCAAAGGAGTTCACATCTCTCTTATCCACACCTACACAGTCTCAGCAATTGATTTTAAGTATAAACAAAGTGAGCTCCAAGAAGGGAGGGGCTGGGTCTTTTTTTGGTATTGGGGCTGGCACAAAAAAGTTGCTCCATGAATGTATCATGAATACATGAATCTAAGGCAGGTCCTTGTCCTTGAGGACTCCAGGTTGCCAATCAATATAAACTTGGCATGAATACACCAAGATCAAAACAAATGAGCAAAAGGAAAATGACCCTATTTTGTATAAGGTTTTTCCAAAAGAATAAAAGACAAATGGAGTCAAGTGTTATGGGAGGTGACCTTTGTACTAAACCCCAAACAAAACCTGTTTCTTGCTTTTGAGTTTGAGAATCGTGTCCAAGTGCTGAATGCTGAAAAACTGTTGGGAGCAAGGGTGTACCAATGAAAGCGCGCCGCTTTCCAACCACATCTTGTCTGTTTTTATCCTAAAGGGAAATTCTGAGAGGTTAATTTCCTAAGAGGGATGTTTTCTAAATAACAGTCTTGTGGGTCACGTGAGTGTGATGTGGGAAACTTCTTCATACGTCTGTCAGCTACTTAGAAAGAGGTGCTCCAGATTTGACAGTTTATAGGTTACTCTCTTTACCTGGAGTATATATAGTATTTACATTTTGGGAGGCATGTTAGGAATGAAGAGCTGTTTTTTTTTTTTCTTTTTTAAAGGACTTCTGAGATGGAAAATTAAAATAAGTACCGATTCACCTCACTACTTCCATCAGATGCATTAGAAACATCTTACTAATGCCAAGAAATAGTAGACATAATTCACAGAAATACAAAACCCAGATTGGCGGGTCTTGTCTTTAAATTAACTTATTTATTTTTTAACTTTGGGAAATAGGAAGAGGAGACAATAAAATATGACCCAATCCTGCAAGGCATGATGACACCCTAGTGGCTGATCTGCCGGACCTGAGAGGCGACAGCGCACACCTGTCGAAGGCTGTCTGCACATTCAGGATCCAGGGTCGGACTTGGGGGCTGTCTGGACGCCTTGATAAGAGGACTCAATCTTCTCTAAGGTTAATAATGGTCCTTCAAAAAGTCAAGAATGGGGATGAAGCCATGATGTTCTAGAATAGTTAGTCACTGCTTAGCAAAAATTGTCCGACTTCTGGAATTCTTGGAACAAAAGTATGGTGACCAAGTATTTTCTTTGGAAGAGAGGAAAGAAAAAGTGTATGAAATTAACAGGTATATTTATTGATATTTTAAAAATAATTACCCAACAGATGTAGGGCATAGAATAACAGGGATGGTATGTTTGATTTGTGAGCTCTCAGAAGGGTGTTGACACACCTCATACTCTGAGAAGTACTTTTCGGACCGATTATTGGCAGGCACCCAGGAAAAGACCCTCAAAGCTGAGAATTATATCATTTGACAGAAACTGTCATTTCTCTGGATGCCAGCATGGGTATGCAAGGATTGGCCCTGTAATGGGCTTGAAAACACACTAATTTCTTCATTACAGATATTTCACAGGTCTGTTCAAAGTTTTTAGCAATGAAGCCTAGTAAGACTGAGCTTCAAGATTTAGGGTGTGGAGAATCTTTGGAATCATCCCATCCACCATTCCTAAGATAATCAACTTTGTTTAAGGTCCTCAAACCTCAATGGATATTTATTTGAATGGGAACAGATGTTACCTGAAATATCAGACTCAAAATTATGTTTAAAACATAGGCTCACATATATATATGTGTCTTTTTTTTCTCTGCTCTATAAAAATTAGCAGCAGTTACAGATCAATTACTGTGGTCATGATTTGTATTATTTCTAAGGACATCATCTATCTCCTATCAGCACATGACTTTTGGAAAATGCTTCTAGATAAAAAGATCCCCACCAAGCATAACAGTAAAGTGTCATTTCATATCACTAACATTTTCAGGCACGAGAGTAAAACAATAAGCACTAAGCAATCCAAACAGCAGAGCACAGAATATAGTTAATTGTCTAAAGTCAACTCCCCCAAAGAAGGGAATTGCTAAAAAAAAAAAATGTTTATTTATTTATTTTTTAAAGATTCTTATGTCTTTCAGCTTTGGCTATTTTGTAATAAATATCATACCTTCTCGCATAAACCGACTGGGTAAGAATGAGTTCTCTGAATATGCCTTTGTTCTGGTAGCAGCTGCTGAGTGTTGAGGGACGTACAAGGCACACCTCTAAGTGTTCTGTACAGCATCTTTATTGATGTACAAAATAGCCTGTTCACCATTCAAAAATGTAATCTGCATAGTAAGAGTTTCTCTTATCCCTATTTACAGAGAAGGTTTTTTTAGTGCAAAAACATGAAACCTGTGTCCCAGCCCACCCCCTCCTGGCACACGTGCCAATCAGTTCTGTCCCATGCTAGCTGGGGATATTTGGCTATATTTTGGGCCTCCAGCCATTAATGAATTGCATTATTTTCTTCACCTGCAGTTTGCTTAATTTGAAATCCTCTGAGAGAATTTCTTCCGTTAGTTGAACAAGCAAATTCCCATCAATCTTTTCGGTGACAAAGAAGGATATGACGTCTTCGGACAGACCAATGAACCGCAAGGACTTGGACACTTCTTCTATAGACAGCCCTGACAGGTCCGCGGGTGGCTGCCACGGGGAACCATCGCCACAGGACCTGGGGGCCAGCTGGAGGTGAAGCGGAGATGAGAAAGGGTAAGAGACAGCAAAGATGTCCTGCATGCCCTTTTTAACAAAATACTGGTCCTCGGAGAGGTCCGGTGACCCCCGCTCGGGGTCCTCCTCAGCACCATCGATTTTCAGAGGCAAAGGAGATGATTCAGGGACGGCTTTCTGTTCCACTGGCTTTGGGGCCCTGGGGGGTAAGGCAGGGCAGGAGATACTCTGCTTGGTTATGCCGGGTGCAAGAGCACTCTCCTCTGTGCTCTCCAGAGAGTAGCTAGCTGACTTGGGACAAGCAGAGACATTGCTACTGAATTCTGCAGTGACTGAGCTGGGGGCGTTGCTGCTCAGGAGCTCACAGCCATCAAAATCAAAAGGTGCTGGGCAGTTTCTCTTTGGTGTGCCTGGTGTCTTTTGTCTGGGATAACTATAACTCCTGCTTGGGTCCAGCAGGAAGTCACTCCTGGTCTGGCTCTCTGATGTGGCTGAATAATGATTAGGCCACGAGAGCCGGGAGGACAGGGCCTCAGCAGAAGGACTTCCGAATGGGGATTTCAGGTCCACAGAATCAGCTTTCACTCGGTTGCACGGATAGCAGGAGACAGGAACACTTTCAGAAGGACTTGTGTCACTTTTAGTAGAGCTGCTTAAAAAAGCAAACAAACACAGAAAAGGAAATTAGTTGTTTTTTTTTTTAAAGCCACATCTCAAGCCTTTTGTTCTCCACCGATGTTAAGTTACTTCTGAGCAGAAAATACAATTAGGAAAAAGTATATTTCTTATCATGAAATCAACGAAGTACCTGCTGACCTCATAGCTTTTTTTTTTTTAAAGAATCTTTAATGACATATATTGATAATTATAGATATGTACGTAATGATTTAAAATGCTACCATGGAGATAGGAACAAAAATAATTTTTAGTTAAGAAGAAAAGCTTTGTTAGTAAATGCTTGGATCTTTATGATGAGAAAAAATTCCCAAACCATGTTTTGGGCTTTGCACCAACAGGTGTCAAAATTGATTAGTGATATATGCGGTGGGCAAAGGGGAGCGAAAGAGTGGTAATGGGTGTCTCATCCTTGCCAACCTTGTGTGACAATGACAGAACACATCACTACCACCCATGACTCTATTTACACCCAAAAGTCTGACACAGGAAGACATACTTCCAATAATATGTTTTCCTCACTTTGGTTTCTATACTACTGAGTTACATTAGCATAAGAATTTAAGTGTCCAAAGGACAACAACAACAACAAATATGGAAGAGAGTTACTTTCAACTTCAAGGACACATGTGGTGGCACATGTAGCCTGGGGGCCCTATTTTAAGAGGGGCAGTGAAACTAGAGTGTGCTGGAAGATGGGTAGACAGAGCCAACATGCTGTCTCTTTGGGATAAGACTTATAGAGACTTTAAATTTTCATGGGCTGACAGACAGAAGTGTGGCAGACCTATTTTATTTCTCTAGATGTAAGAAACAGTTGAGTTACATGGAAATAGATTTTAACTTGACAGTCTGAAAGACTTTTTTTTTTTAAATAAAATGTTGGCATTTGCCAAAAATGGATGGACGGCGCTTGCCAAGAGAACTGAGCTCACAGCACGGGGAGGATCCAGACAGGAGGGAAGGACCACTCAACAGCAGTGATCAACGAGGCATTTCTGTGTCAACGGGAATTTAGAGCAGAAAGCCAAGGGGACCCTTTCAGTTGGAGGTCCTGGTGGAAGGTGCTGTCTGCTTGTGTCAAAGTGGAAAGAACTAGGTGCTGGCTTGTGAGAACGGATGGCATCCTCTACACGCTGTTTCCAAGAGAATCCAGAGGCTTTTACACTGATTTCTCACAGACCCTTGACATCTTTTCTTCCCAAGATCTTGGCTCTTCTGTCCAAGGTGAAACACAACAAGTGCCACCCGCCTTCATGCTCTTTCAGTAAAATTACTTTAAATGATAAAAACCATTTCCTTTCCCACTGCCCTGGCTAGAGGACACTCTCCTGGCTGAGGAGAAATCAGGTTGCCGTGAGCCCTTGCAGCCAGACTTACATGTTGTGCAGCCCTGAAGAATAGTAGGACAAGGTGGGGCTGGGAGAGCGAGTCTGTGGCCGTGCTGGCTTGACTGTGCGAGGAGGGATGGAGGGACTCGTGGACAAAGGCTTTGTGCTTCGGGGTGGAACAGGTGGGGCGTTCAGGAGCCGGCATTCTTCCCTGACCTGGTGTAAGAAAGAATACTCCAGGTTAGCAACAGACTGACAAGGACCCTGGGGCCAGCTCCATCCTGTGGGGTCAAGTGGCTACTCTTTAAGCAATAACAGCAGGAGTATAAGCGAGAGAGAGAGAGAGAGAGAGAGAGAGAGAGAGAGAGAGAGAGAGAGAG